GTTACATATTCGTTCTTGTGATATAAATGAAGTGCGCCCATCTGGGCAAAATAATACGAAGCAAAAATGAGAAAAATTTTTTGGAAAAAAAACATCTGTTTGGTCGTTTGAAAAAAAATCTGTACAAAAACTTTATCTTTACAGAAGAATAGGTATCGTTGAAAAAGGTAAAATCAACTGAATTGATCGGATGAGAGCATAATTTCTCAAACAATTACCTTTCATTAATTGAATCATTTTGATGTTGAGAATCGGGACTATCCATCTGCATATCTAAAATAAACAAAACATTCCAATTTTCTTTTCATTTTCTTACTACTAAATGAAGTGTTCAAATACGAAGTGGATCATCATGTTTTCGATGATATCCTGTTTTATTATCAAACAGTTTATTCTTTATCGGTGATAATGAAACCATTTTATATCATTTATCATTATTTCGTGTTCTACTAAGGACTCCACTTTTATTACTTTTCTTCCTTCTATTTATCTCCTTTTATTAACGTTTTGTTCTTGTATTAACAAAGCAATTATTTTTAACAGCTCTATCGTTATCAACATCTGTCAGGTGTTTTTCTACTACTACGCCTTGAGTTCTATATTCTTTAAAATGCATCTTCCTTGTCAGTATCTAGATGGTTAAGTCAAGAGTTTAATATACTTAGTTCTTTAGTATAATTCACATTTTATCCCTCAATGATACACTCAAGTGTAGTGACAATGTTCTCAGAGTGCGTGCATTCTTTAGACAAATGTTTTTTACACAAGGATGATCCCCGCAAGAGTCTCACTATTAAACCTTTATTATAGACAAATCAAAATAATGTGCCGATTTATATACACAAAGTCAAATAATGAAATATTATTGTTCATATATGCAAGTGCGGCATACCGTTTATAGTTTACTTAGTTCAGTAATTGATTAAATGTTGAGGGTAATTCTCAACCTTTTCAGTAAACTGCTAATTTGTCTACTGACGTAAAAATCATAAATACTAATAAAACTTGTTGATGTCTTGAGGATGCGCAAACCATTTAATCAATAAACGAAGAGAGAGACGCAGAGAGAGAGAGAAATAACTATTTGAAAACAAATTTCTTATCTTCGACTATTCATCTTCACTATTTAAGTCTTTAATATTTATCTGTAATTTGTATTTATATACCTGTAACAGTACGATTATATCGTTCATATTCCAATACTTCTCGTTCTTTAAAATGTGTTTCAATTTGTTGTTCTGTCCATCCACGTCGACGTAATCGTTTATGTTCTTTACTCCACATTTCATGACAGTCTTGAGTTACTGGCAATCTATTAAAAAAAATAAAACCAAATAAATCCTTAAGTGAGGAATTCCTCTTTCTATAACAAATATCACGTAAAATCTGTCGAAATATCTCTGTTCGCATTTTGTATCCAGTTTAAATATAACTAATAATATACTCACGGTGGTGGTCGAACGTTGTCTGGTGTAATATCTTTTAGCCATGTTGATAAGAGGGCATCCGATGCACTTATTCGTTTACTCGGATCTAATTCAAGCATTCGATCAAATAAATCAAGTGCTGATTCCGGAATACTGTATTAAATAAAAAAGCATTCAGAAAAAATAATAATGCCATTTAACAGCATAACTCAGTACGTACGTTACAAATTCTTCACGTAAACGTCTTCTATATGTTTTTCGTTGTTTTAATGTTTGAAATAATGGTAAATGGATAACATCAGGCCATACAGCTGGCGTCGGAGAACCACATAATCTTGAGATTAACTCTAACTGTTCTTCTTCACGTTGAGCTTGAAATATTGGACGACGATGAAACAATTCGCCTAATATACAACTGGAAACAGAAGAAAACTGCTTTAAACTGCTTTTTCAAGAGACGTTGTACATTTGATACAAAGCCTCTTTTATTCTCTTTTGAGTTCTAGCGATAGATCCTTTTTCATTCTGAAACAGATCTACCATGAAAAACTGCTCGATCCTATATTTTTATCGTTTTTCAACTTACCCACAACTCCAAATATCAATAGCTGGTCCATATCTTTCTTCTCCTAATAATAATTCTGGTGGCCGATACCATAGTGTTATGACTTTATTTGTATATGGTCTTTCTTTATCATCAGCATTATATAATCGAGCTAGCCCGAAATCAGCTAATTTAATTTTTCCTCTATTATTTAATAGAATATTTGAACATTTAATATCGCGATGTAAAAAATTTCGTTGATGGCAATAAGATAGACCAGACATTAATTGTTTCATAAACGATGCAATATGATCTAAATCTAAATCAATGAGACCACTATCTAATATACCAAATAAATCATGATCACAATATTCAAATACTAAATAAAATGATGTATCATTTCGAATATCTGATATTGTACGTGCATCCATAACTAATTCTTTTAAATTAACAATATTTTCATGTGTTAACTGGCGTAATATTTGAATTTCACGAACAGCTGTTATTGGAAAACCTTCTTTTTCATTTTCTAAACGAACTTTCTTTAATGCACACAATTCACCTAAAATGAACAAAAAACACATAATTTTTCATCAGATCTTACTTTTACGACAAGGACTCAATTTATTTGAGCTATTTCTATATTCTTTCAAAATTAGAGCTATTCGATTAACGCGTTGATGATTAATTTAAAAGATTTTCGTATTAGAAGTAGGCTCATAAAAATATCGATCAAGTTTTAATTAGACAAAATGTATAGCAAGATTTGCTGAAGATCAAAAATCGAGCAACAAAATCTCTGTTCAACTCAGGAAGAGAAATTCTCAAGTAAAATAGAGGTCAGACACTATTATTTCACACAAAAATCCATGTTTTATCGTTCTATAAAAAACCCTTTTCCACGGACTAAATCCTCCTCTTCGCTCACCTTTCGCTACGATACGGAACTAAAACTTTCTTACGCGCGATTCCTATCCCTCGCTTAACCGTACTTACCGGTTTGTTTATCTCTCGCTTTAAATACTTCGCCATATGTTCCTTCACCAATTTTGGCTAATATTTCGTACATATCAACATTACGATCCCCCCACTGGTCTTTCCGCATCTCTTCACGACGTTGCAGAATTCTAAAAACAAATCACTGATATAAACGTAAGGGTCGCTAGATTTAAAGCAGAAGACAAGTATGTCAGTCCACATGAAAAATCTAAACACTAATTTATCAGTTTTTTCTTCTTTACATTCTTCCATTAGCTTCTCTACTTTTTGTCTGAAAATTCCGCAAAAGCTTACCGAGGTCTACGTGTAGTACGATCGATATTTGGTGTTGTCTTAATTGATGCTGTTAATGGTGGATTTCCAGGCCAATTTGATTGATTCATAGGTGAAAATGGTGGCGAAGAATTTTCCGGACTGGGTGGTGATAATGAATCAGTTGTTGTATTTAAATTATAATCGGGAGGCATTGGTAATCGTGTCAAATTTGTTTGTCCACTTGAACGAGATGACGAAGAAGAATTTTGATTCTTACGTTGTTGACTCGACAAAGTACTAAAGGAAATGTTGAACAATAACCTTTTTTATAAATTACAATAGCCTTTTCAATAAATTTTTTTTGAAAACAAGTTAAATATATATTTACTCTGTTGATGAGCGATTGTTAGCATTCTTCTCTACTGATGGTAATGGTAAACTTAAAAGACCGGAAGATGACAATCGTTGTTTATGGTTTTTCTAAAGAAAATAAATTGTATTATTAAATACAATAACTTGATCGAACTACCATGTAAAACAAAACGAATAGTCATTATACACTATCACTAGTAATTTTTTTCTAACGAAACTTTGTATGGTACTTAAAACCAGTTATATAATGCAAATATAGGTGATAAAATCCTCCAAAAAAGTTTCCGTACATTTTCTGATATTCATCTTCACTGTTTCAACGTTAATCGCTACTTCTAAACATGTTAAACATAAGTAAAACTTACTTTCAACGACTCATCATTTAAAATCTGATTTGTATTGTCCATTTTAGTCGAATTAATATAAGTTTGCTGTTGTTCAAATGTTGGTGATCGAATAAATGAATTACTTGTGTGAAGTTGTTTATCTGTATTTGAATTTATTCTTTGTTGTTTTGATCCTGTAACATTTATTTGTGGATCACTTTCGTCACTGATAACTTCTGTTGTACTTTTAATTGATTGTAACAATGTCATTGACGACGCATTGATTGTGTTAGCTGACGTTGTTGATTTACGATTACTTGCTGATGATGTTGTTTTATTTCTAATTTTTTGTAATTCAGAACCAAGTGTGGCATTAGAAGTAAATGACGTTTTTTCAGTGTTCGTATTATGACTAGTGGCACCACTATTTCCACTTCCCCCATTTGTCTCATTTCCATTCGAAGATCCATCAGACGAAGCTGACCCATGACGATAAGAATATTTTGAACGATCTTTATCTTTATGTTGGTGATTTTTACTAGAACGATGTTGACTATGATGCGAAGAAGAAAAATAATGATAACGATGACTTGATGAGGAGCTTGTTTGAACTGGACTACTGTGTTTTTTCTTTTTAGATGAACGTTTTGAGGGACTACTCGAGGTGGTACGATAACGATAATTATCACTGGATATACCTTTAAACAAAAATAAATAAAGAAAGTTAATGACAGATAATAATCGCCGATATTTTATTAGGACAGAAAATGCAACAATGCCAGAAAAAACTTGTTTAGTAGTACACTTTTTTTCTAGAATGAAAACTATTTGACAATAAATCAGTATAATCAATCCATAGTTTTCAACGAGTAAATCCTTCATTTGTTGTCTAACTGTATAAGATTAAAAGAATGTTCTCTATGTTTTCTTATTCCGTCGAACTATTCAATCATTATTTAGACACTATCTAGTCAATTCTAACTATAATTCAGTGAAAAACTTGTATAAACTTTCAGGCAGTCACTTAGCTGTTGTTTGACTCTTACCTTCCGATATTTTCCTTTTTGTTGGTTTTTTTGACGGTGCCACCGGCGATTGTGAATCAACTAATCTTTCATCATTATTATGTTTTTTTCTGACGTGTCTCGACGATGATGATGAATGTCTATCATATTCGCGATTTTTACTTTTATCACTACGATGTGACTTTTTACTTTTTTTATGTTTTTTGGACACAGATCCATTATTATCATTTCTTTGTTGTTGAGGTGACGTTAAAGATGAACTATGAATATCCGGTGATGGAGTGGAATAATATTGCTGACAATAGGCATCGGATGCTTGAGACGGCAATGGCCGAGTGTGATGTGTGTGATGATGATTGTAATCGCTATTATCATGTGCATTATTGTTATATTGTGTATTTTGAGTATAACGAGATGCATGATAGTCCGGATATTGATCACGACGAGACATCGTTGATGTTTTAATCGTCATATAGTAAAAGACAAAAAGTTCAATAAATATTCAAGAGAATTTTTTAAATAAGCATAATGGCATTGTTTACATCTATAATTTAGATATGAATGAAATTCAAAAAGAAAAACAGATCTTCATCCAAAACCAATTTAATGTTTAAAAAAGAAGACATTTATCGTCACCTACAAAGAAAAAGACAATAAACAAACAATAAACAAAATAAATACGTCATGATATTGATATAGACCTCATCTCTAAATGTCATTGGAAAAATATTAAGCGAATGCAATTATTTAATATCGGTTGCGACATCTGCGAGTGATCTTTTAGAGGATACCATCGACTCCAAATCTTTAATCCGTTCTTTTGTTGTAATTTGTACTATCGCAGTCACAAATTTAGAGATGGTGCTATTGGACATTCTCGCATAACTGTACTCTGAGTCATCCAATTTTTAATTCAGCCATCTGCTCTTCTTCGAGAACATCATGTGCCTTTGTTTTCGTATGTTTCATTCTCTCTTGTTTTCTTTCTCTTTCACGATACGAATACTTTGTTTATGCTCGAATATATTTTATATGGCATTTTTCTGTCTGGCACGGAGTAGTGGCTGCATCAAGATATTTCTAGAGGGTGGACGCTTCGAAATTTTGGGAAGTTGTTAGAGCTAGTGTGATGCAAAAAAATGCTTAGAGCGGGGAAAGGTTAAAACTATTTAAGGGTTGGGTGGGCTAAGAAACGGTGCCGCCACTAGTGCGAAGATAGAACTAGAGAATCTAACAGGGATTATACTATCGATCTAAACATTCTTTGCTAATATAAGATTTTTAGTTCGATTTTTACTTACCAAAGAGTACAACTTTTTTTGAGAAAATTAGAAATATTTTTATTTAAAATGATTTTAAATGCGTAAACTCTTCAGCAACAACACAGTTTGATAACGTTACGCTCGTCTAATGAATCTTGAGCTTGATGCGTTAATATCAGAGCCTGAAGCCTTTTTCGCTGCTTTAGTCCTTGACTGTAGTTGGAGTATCAGCAAACTATTTTAAAGGGTTATCATCTCTCACTTTGTTTTTACTTAAACTTAGTTTAGAACGATTTTATTAAGTTTTCTATTCGTAAAACTATAGATGTTTTTTGACTCTTTTTGTTGCTGGTATTTTTAACACCATTACTAGTGAAAGTGGACTAAGAAAGGGTTTAACCCATGTCCTTTATTTCCTTTTTTTCTCATATTTATTGTTGTTTTGGGTGGGACTCTGCCTCTATTTCCCTGTATAGGTTCTAGTTCTTGTTTCGTTTATTGAATTGTACTTTATTCTATTTCTGTCAGTCCTCATACACATCTCTCGCACACACATTCTGTGTTATTGCTGTAAAGTCGTTTGTGCAAATGAATGACGGTTTCTTTTCTTCTTATATTCTGTGTGCGTTAGTTGATAATAAAATGACGCGCAACTCATATATTTGTCTTTCTATTTATGTTTCTCTCTTGTTCTGTATATCTTTCTTTATAGTGTGTTCGTTGCTACAGTCTGCATTTACAATCCTCCATCTCTACTCAATGACGACAAACGTTACTTCTTATTCATGTTAGAGATGGAAGAAATGTTTTTTTTTTCTTCTATCAGTACTTTTTTCTCGAGGAAGGCTCGTTTTTTTTTCTTCCTTTTACAAGTATCGCGCAGTATTTAAATTTTATCGTACTAAAAACGGAACGACAAAAATGCCGGTTTATTTTTTCATAATATTATTTCGAACTGACTGACTTGTTTAAAAAGAAAAATTTCATTTGTTTTATTTTATCCTATTTTGCGGGAAAAAGTTCTGAGTTATTAGAATTATTGTATAGGATGAATAATAATAATATTGCAATATTATTCATTCCTCCAGTCCCTTATATCTGTAGAAGTTCATGGAACTATCACTCAATTCCTTAGTTGCCCGGTTTGAAGAAACTCCCTTGTCAAAAGTAAGGGATCTTTTCATCCAGTAGGAAGAAAGAAGGAGGATGCTGATAACAGACAGAGCACTCGGAAAAGAGTAGGGTAAAACTTTTATTAAGCAAAACAGGAGGATGAAAGAATGCTAAAAGGCGACATCTAGGAACGGTCCTGTTGCCTGAAAATTTTTCTATCATATCAAATGATAAGAGCTGTTCGGATGTTAGTTTTGTAGCCAACATAGCAAACTACCTCTAAGAAACTGTGTTTCATCACTAAAAAAACAGCGGACTCTTGAAAACGTTCTTTCTTTGCACCAGGGGTGCTTGGAGCAGAGATGTAACCGCTCCAGAATTCTTCGAATGGGAACGGTACTATTTTGAAAATTCTCTACCGAAACGAACCGTCCGGCTAAATTTTCCATTTTTTCATAGTGGAAGACTAATTTTATTCAAGAAAAAGCTCAAAATGATACTGGTTAAAACCTTTTTTTAGAGCGGTCGTTCTACCAGGACTGGCTGTTACCGGTTACAACTCTGATTCGGAGTGTAATAGTACGATTCTTCAGATGAAAACTGAGATGGACACTTCTAAAGGTTTTTACAATTATTATAAAGGAAAAGAGGTATCTGTAAAGTAAATTAGAACGAGAGCGATGAAGTATGAGATCCGTAGTAAAACTTCTTGTGTCTAAGATTATAGGTTAAGAAATGTCATAAGATCTTGGAAAAAACACTAGAAAGTCAAGATTCTGCATTCTTGAATCTTTCACTCGAGATCTCTGCTAAGATCTTATGAATAGAAATTTCAAAATCTTGCGTGAAAAATTTTCTTTACATTTTGTTCTCATGTATGACAGTTATAACCATCAGGTATACGTCCATGCATAATCATAGGCCCTTCGTTAAATAACTATCTTCAAGAAGGGAAAACATTCGAAGTTATTATAAGCAGAAAATATTCGCAGTTATATTTAAACAGCCCTACAAAAAAACACTTTATCGGCACTGGTTATGCACGGATGCGCACCGATGCTGAATAATTTTTTTCTGGGCACCAATGCGCACCAGTGCCGAAGTTTTGTTTTCAATCACTATTTTGTTTTGTCAACTTCTGCTTATATGAACACCTCAGTCTACTTCTAATATTTCGAATGTCTTTCTGACTTCATCTTTTTCTTCTCATGAGAGAAGTACCGAGGCAATGCCGCATGGTTTTGGCATGTCAATGTGGTACTGATTAGTGCCGCACTCTAATACAAAATTCAATATAAACAACCGTAATTAAACTGATTAAATAAATCCCAGTGAGGCACTGATTTTTACCAGTGCGGCACTTTTTGGGCAGAAATATATCGGCACTTGCTGGGTACGGGTGCGCATCAGTGCCAGCCAGTGCTCGTGACCGATGGCATGCCATGCGCACTGGCAGTGCTGCACTGAAATGTTTTTTTTATAGGAAAGAGTGTAAAATGAAACGATGATTGAAGATTTTGGATACAAGACCTAAGTACCCAAAATCTTGTTACAAGAAGTCAAGTAATTTCAAGACATTCAAGATCGCGGGTTCTTGAAACTTCTATAACTTCTTATATTTTCTCAGCAAGATCTTACTAAAAAATCCAAGAAGTCATGATCTTGACTCAAAAAGTTTTATACTACGTAGTATGAGTTGTTATAAGATTTGATCACTATTGGTAACTTATGGTATTTATCATCTGTTTATATCGTTCGATCAACTAATGGGTAAACTTTTCAAACAAATTATCGCAGCCGAGTAACATGAGATCATTTCTTATTTTATTCGCGATACTTCGACCTTAACTGGTCATTATCAATTAAAAAATAAACTGTGAAAGACGTAAGAATTTTTATTTAAAAGACACAAGATAAAAACATTTCATGATAAAAACAGCTACATTTATGGTAAACGGGTACAGCATTTGACAAAACAGTATTTTCCACAAATAGAAACCAGAAGTGTTTACACAACTGAAAATAAAATTGGACGAGAATTTAAGATTAAAGACTCTATTCCACACAATTTACAATCTCAGGTTGTCTACGGTACTACATGCAATTCTTGTTCAGATCCATTTATTGGGAAGACGTTTCGTCATTTCCAAACACGCTGTCAAGAACATCTGAATGATATTAAACAAGCAAAATTATCTAATGTACCAAAAATAACATCTTCGGTAACATCATCGATTGGTAAAGTCATAAAACCAAGTGACACAAAAAAACCAACAGTATTAAATGAAAATAGGAAAGCGGATGTAATTTATTCAGGATCTATGACACGCTCAATATCAAAAAGATTTACGTCAATTAGTTCATTAATAGACATCTGCTCAACATTATGCTACTCAACGTTCGTCCCGAAGTCAGTCAACATTTCGTGAAAAAAGGACATGAAATTGGTAAGAATAATTTTAAAATTTTATTGAAAGAAAACACAAATATAAATTCTTAATTAAGGAATTGATAGTAATTAGAGCTACAAAACCGATCCTAAATGGTACCGATCGATCTATTCCGCTATATGTATCATGTAAAGAAATTAACTTTATCCTTAAGTATTACGGGACCGCCACTTTCCGGATAAAAGGAAAGAAAAATAAAGAGTCGGAAAATATATAAAATATGTATTCATTCATGTGTTCCCCATTCTCTCCAATGTACAACTTTCTATTTTGTATTTACTGAACTCAGCCGATGACTTATCGAATGGAGAAATAGCATTAAAAAGTATGAACAGTTATAATTCAGTTTTTCTTGTGCCTTTTACATAAAAACTGTTACATCTTTCACAGTTTATTTTTTACTTGATAATGACCGGTTAAGGTCGAAATATCGTAAATAAAATAAGAAATGATCTCATGTTACTCAGTTGCTATGATTCTCAAAATTTGCTTATATTGTACTATTAAAGAATATTTCATTCTGCCAATCTTACAAATTTATTGGTTTTTCTTTGTGTACACGCAAGAATGTCTTATACTTGGGTGCTTACTTCTATTAGAAGTATGAAACAGAACTCTCGTAAGAGCTTTAAAAAAATGGAAATTGGAAATTTTCGCGTCATTACAATCAAAAAGTGGGCTGAAATTGTAAAGGATTGTACATAAGAAAATTATCGTTATTATAAATCTACATCATTTTTAGACTTTTGTGGAGTTTTTAAAATAAATCGCGTTACTATAACACACATAGCTTAGAAGAAGGGGAAAACAATTTCGTGTCGATCGAGCGGTGTGGAACAGTTCCTCACCTCTGCTTTCTGAAATTATTCATTTTTTCCTTTAATAAGTTTTCTTTCAAATTTTTTTCAAACGACCAAACAGATGTTTTTTTTCCAAAAAATTTTTCTCATTTTTGCTTCGTATTATTTTGCCCAGATGGGCGCACTTCATTTATATCACAAGAACGAATATGTAACAGTGAAAATTAAAGGAGAATGTTAACGTTATTGTTTGTGGCTGATGATGTACTGTTTTGTCTGTAAGACCGATCGTTCGTGACACTTTTACGAAATTGGAAGTGAGCTGGTCGGATCGCATAAGAAAGTCTCCATGAAATAGTTGAGGGTATGTAGATGATGGTTCTGCAGTTTTGAAACTGAATAGGTCATTGAAAAGTACTTGGAAAGTAATCAGTTACTTCGCACTCGCACCGAATTCTATCGGGTGGAAAAGTCGCTGAATTCTAGTGCGTTTGCGTGAAGGCGTAGTAGCTACCAACCAACATCCAGTGATGGAGAATTCCGCCGTAAAACTAGGAAGTGGAGTTTCATACCTCAAGAACTTGATAATAACCCCCAGCACAGTTCTCCGTAAACCTACGCTTAGAACTGACCAACAAGAATTCGATAAAACTTTACAAGTCATTTAACACAATATAAAATCAACCTCGTTCAACCTCAAGCAGAAGATGAAGTTTCGCAATACCCGTAGCTGATATTATGATTTCGTTTTTCTCTGAAAGCTTTCGTGCAGCACAACGCTCGTGTTAGCAATCGAAGCTGTAAGATACACCTCAGTCAGAGACCATCACGTCCAGGTCAGGTGTAGGTCACGTCCGGTCGGACGAACCTCTTCTATGATTGAGCCTTTTGTGATTGAACCTGAACCTAACCTGGATTTTGACTTTAACGTAGGACTTGAGATCTGAAGTAAACTTTTAAATCTAATGCAAATAATGTAGTTTAGTCTGCAGCTTGAATACATGCTTTTTGAGTAACGGTTACTGTTCGAATTTAGTAGACACTAGACAACTCTTATTGCAAAGCACGAAAGAAACACAATGTACCCTTTTCCCAAATATAGACCTAGGACTGACTTCTTCTATGTGGACTTCTCCCAAAATCCAACTTTGCGGTTTGGGCTGCAATTCGATGTCTACTTTCGATACTATAGTGTCGCCAAACGTGGTGATAAGTCTTGTGCTGAGTTGGTCTACATACCAGAAAACTTCAGAAAAATCTAAAATAGATTTGATTCCCCGGCTTGTCGGTTCTGACGTGGACCGCCTCCTAAGAGAGGAAGTCTTGAATGCTTTCGAGACTTTTACTAAATCAAGCGTTAATCTTTATTTTGCCTGTTACAGGAGAGTCTATATAGTTTACCTAGAAAATAACGCAGCATAAAGAGATATATTATATATTATGGTACAACAGTCTAATTTTGTGAAAAATTCTGATTTCCAATTAGAGTATTTTATGAGAAACTTCAACAGTCGTGCATTAGATTGAGACTCTTCGAATGGCCAACGATACTTTTCCGTCCGTTTTCTAGATTTTCATCTACTGCATGAATGTCAGCATTACTTTGAGCGGTATCACTGTCCACTTAAAGGAAGATCACAACTTCCACTGGTTGTTCAGAGTTGGTCGAGTATTCTGCGTATTCGATCAGCAAGATTCGGGCAATATATGCTTTGGCGTCGAGGCGCAAGATGGAAAACAGTTTATCAAATATGCTGGCGCAAAGCCAACAGAATTCGAAGGAGATCCTCGTGATGCTGTTCAACGATTGAAAGAGGCTGTTGATGTTTATGAAGATCTCGTACATGAGCATTTGATCGCATTACGCTCTCATTTTGCCGTGGATGGCGGTGGTTACGCGCTCGTTTATGAGTGGTTCAACGGTGAATGCTTGCATCCTCACTGGTCCTATCCACCACCTGCAAAATACACGGACTCTCGATCCCCTTACTACCGCTTTAGACAACTATCAATCAAACTACGATTAGAGGCACTAGATCACATTTATTCATTTCACAAATATACTGAAGCGAAACGTTACGTTGCAATCGATTTCTACGACGGCAGTATTCTGTACAATTTCGACACACATACAACTAAAATTTGTGATATTGACTTTTATCAACGCCAACCCTGTACGAATACCAACGGTTGGGGATCACCTCGGTACATAGCGCCTGAAGAACTAGACCCGACAACACAACTCGACGAAAGAACAAACGTATTTCGGATGGGCGCTATTGCATTTGGCCTGCTTGGTGGCGAACTCGATCGATCCCGATCAAAGTGGGAAGGGGGAGAAGAACTCTATCGCATAGCGCTAAAAGCCGTCGACGACAATCCAATGCAACGTTACGCATCTGTTAGGGAGTTCACAAACGAATGGAATCAGTATACTACTTAAAAATCACAAATAGAGGTGGAGCAAGTTGAACTATAAAACGCATGTATTGCAAGCAAGAAAGTGGAATCAGTAGCGACCTGACTGATTAGATGGAAACTAACTGAGGCTGGTTATGGAAAGAAAATAATGTTGACGGAGCGTCGAATAAATCGCCACAAACAAATATCAACGACAAGCATGTGATAAAATAAATCCCACCCAAAACTGCATCCTCTATAACTGGATCTTTCGCTGCTGACGTCATACTTATGGTTTTAAGCTTTTTAGGAAGATATTATGAAAGATATTTCTATGGGATAATACTTTACTGTCGCTAAATTCCGTGATGTCAATCTTTAAAATTGAAAATACTTAGACGCTGCTGCACTGCTGAGAAAAGATGCTCCAATTGTAAAGATACTTTCTCTTTTCTTCTGAGCCAGAAGAAAGTGTCCAGAAAATCTGAAGCTCCTAGAACATAGACATTTTCACATACGGAACCAAATACAAGTGTCAAAAATCGAAAACAAGAAAGATTTTCAGGACCCGTTTTTCAGAGTCCCGGAATGCAAAATGGTTTGAGACTTTAAAACAAATTTCGCTCAAAGGAAGTATTTTCAAGGTAAAGTGCGGGTACAACACGTGTTCAGAATCAGATTCCTTGGAATATAAAAGAACGATTTTTCAAAGATCGTTAAACTGGATTTTTAAATTGAAAAATAGGATTCTTAAAATTTTAAAATTTCGTAAAATTTAATTTAAAAATCTAGTTTAATGATTTTCGACAAATCCTTCTTTTAGATGAATGAGTGTTGGTGATGTTGGAAACTGATTGTTGAAGTGAGTGTTTGCTATTAAATGGTCTATAAAATGAGGCATAGAAATTTCAATGAACAGGCGGCTAACGATGGCAATGAAAAGACTGCTTGATATATTGTTGACGATGTTTGTAATTTTGGTAGAGTAGGATTAATTTCATCTGTTTTTATTTCTTCAAATGAAAATGAACGTAAATTCGTAACATTTCGAGTGAGAATTTTGATTCAGAGAAGAGATTTTCAAATGAACTGAATTTGTTGAATACATTCAGCATTTGAGAGTTTTAATGTTGTAACCTGGTCGCGAATTGTTGGTAGAATTGTGGCACAGTATTGAATGAAAGACGATTTAGAAAATCAATTTTTAGATCGAAGGAAAGAACAAGATTTGTAAAACGATCGTTGAAACTGTAGAAGGTTGTGAAGAGAGTGTGACCGTCCAGATATTCAAAAATACAATAAAAGAAGATCTCATTAGCAAGATCTTTTATGACCGAACGGTTCATACTTTTGTCGATCTAGAATTAAGAAAGAAAGAAAGAAAATGAAACTGAATTTAGCACGAAGAAAACGAAATCTACTACTTTTCAGATCAATGCTTGTCGAATCTTGCTTCTGTTGTAAAAACATGTCACTTTACGAAGAAAAGCGTTTCTTACCTCATCTTAATATTTTAAAAAGCATCTTGATTTGAATTTCAATCCGAGAAACCTATCTATTTCTATATCTTTACGTTAATTCTTTTACCATTTTTTTCGAAGAACAGAAAAAGAAAAAAAAATAGCAAAGAAAGTTTAACATCTTTTCTACAGGAAAAAGATCCGTTTATCGAAACAGAAATAAGACAAATGATTTACGTTTCTAACAGAAAATAAAAAATGAAAATGATTACTTTGTAGCATTGTCTTTTGGCCGCTTGTTTTCTTCATATTTCATAACAAATGCTTTATTAAATAATACACAGTCAATTATTTCTGGTGTATTATCTCCTCCTACACTCGTTGCTTGTGGCCAATCGAATCCTAGACCTGTATCAATAAGTAATTTAGCATATTGTTGACAATTGACTTTGCTCGTCTAGCGATTCATACCAGAGACCATCGCAGGGCAAGACGTTCTACAGTACAAAAGAAAGTTTTTCTCCTTAACCTAGCAGACTTCATCTTCAAGAAACTCATCACAAATACTGGATGTGTTTCTCGTGCGTAACAGAATCTTTTTTTTTATTAATTATCAATTTTAGAAAAGTTGGCTGTCACTTTTATTTTCACATATACGAGAGATCAAAATTTTACTTAAAAGAAGCTTGAAAAGCTCAAAAATCAATCTCTCGCCGGGCAACTCAAGGAATTTTTTGTTGCCCTGTCCTGCAACAGAGCAGGGCAAAAATAATATATCGTCCTCCCCGCAGGACAACAGAGCAGCCCTGTACTGTGATGGTCTCTGATGCACACCGTGATTTAGATTAATAATATATTCGAACATTTCAGCGAAGAATTACTAAGAATATAAACAAACACTTACGAGAGGAATTAATAGTTGAGTTTCACGAACTGTTGGTGATAGAGTAGCTGAACAAAGATTATTATACCAACTAATTACCTGAAAGAGTAATAAAGTCAATAAAAGCATTACAAAGAAAAAAGAGGTTTGGCGCTTGATAGAAGCTTACATATTGAGTCTATAATGTAGGTGGTGTTGGAGAAAAAGCGGATAATGGAAAACAGTCTACTTTTTAAATGTGGCGTAACTGAATTCTGATCGGTCAAAACTAGGTATGCATAAATTTTATCCATAAATCTCTACTATCGTCGTAAAATTTCCGAATATCACGTTGATGGTAGAGATTTATGGATGCCTAGTTTTGACCATTCTGATCATGAAGATATCTTGATAATTGTAAATTACCAACTAGACGATAATCAATTTGTGCTTTTACAAATGTATCAGTGACAGAGATGGGCAGTTCTTTCGCTCCACCTCAGCTCCAGCTCCGCTCCGACTTCTCTCCAGCTAAAAATAGTTTTCATCTTATTGGAAAAGCACATTTTTCGCGTTGCTTTGAAGTAGCTTTGCAATGATCTGCAGGGTTCATATTCTCTTTCACAGCATATACGGAAGATCAACACAAAAATTTTTATGTACAATAGTTTTAGACCACAATTTGATCTACAGCATGAAATAAGACTAGTGATAATAGGGGAGTGTCGATTGCATTTGAATAGAATCAACATAGCGAGTATGTTCTTAGAGAGTTGGCTAACATGGGATCGTCTGCATCCCACCGGAAGAAAACACACGGAAAACACACAGCAGCGGATGTGAAAGGTACACTACTGCAACTGATTACAAATACGACAAAGAAATATTAACTACGATGAATAGTCAACGATAAGCTTTTCACTGACTGATGGATCTATCATCGTATGCAGAACACGAAGGGGAAAATGGAGCGATTGGTGAAAAGAAAGAGCCGCTCCGACTCCGCTTCAGCTCCATAGTTTTTACGAAGCGCTTCGCTCCGACTTCATGTCTCTCATAAAACGCTTCGCTCAGCTCCGTGGAGCAGCCGCTTCGGAGTCGGAGCTGCCCATCTCTGATCAGTGAAATGATCGAATTCGGTTATAGCAGGTGCGGTGTGAACAGGTTGTTCGATACGACTAATCCGAGAGATCAGTGTCTGTCGACATCCCAGCTAAAGCAACCAAAACGACCATATGAGATGATTTACCTTGTGAAGCATGAGTGGAGATGACGTATAAAGCTAAAAGATCTTCTGGACACCTTCTGAAGATGCCAGAGGGCTGGAAGTATTCTTAATCGATTCTCTGTGATAGACTATCTATATTCTGTAATGTAAAATCGTAGACTAAAGTCAAGGGAACAATATAAATTATTAAGACGGAAGAATTAAAAAGAGTGCCGTAACACTTTCTCACTGAAATTGTACAAACCGGTCAGAAAAGAAGATAAGCTAGAATTAAAATCACACCTGTCCTAGTATGTTCCAGCATTTTGTCCTAGCGTATCTTAGCCCAAGATAACTGGTATTTCTCTAATTCTACGGAAAAAGCGCACACTGTAATATAAAAAAGCAAAAAGTTCTCTGGGCACTCTTTGAAGATCCGAAGGGCTGGGGGCTACAAGTGTTTCTGATCGATTCGCCAGGATAGAATATCTATATGCTGTAACTTTTATTATCCGTAGATGACTCTTTTGTGTTTTAAAAATTGACTGATTTCCGGCGACATCTATCGCCCGGATACAGAAAAGGTTTGCTTAGCTGTTTTTCTCTCTACATCAGTAAATATTATTTCAGTCATCTCTTTAAATATTTTCTCTTCTGTATAAAAAAGAATTTTCTATTTTCCTCTCTTGTGATTGGCTTATCCATGGAATATTTAACAGCCATTTTTCCGTATTTTGTGCCCAGTCAGACAAGCATTTTGTAAGATCCTAGACTAAAGTCAAGGAAATAACTACGATAACTCCGGCGTACAAGCAGTTTCTTCAGTGGTGTAACGAGAGGTAAACTTTTTGGAAGAACGTGTGTTTTTGTTGATTTGATTGTGAACTAAACCTGTGAGAGAAGCAGTGCTTTTAATAGAAATTTTTTCTAGAGTGGAACTTTCCACTTTGTTGTTAGCGTCAAAGTGAGATTTTCCGCTTTGATACGAAACGTCAAGTGAACAAAATGGGAACAGTTGAAATTCTTGTCCAATAGCGGCTAGAACAGATTTTTTTCTTCCTAATATCCTGTTGATGTTAATCGTCAAGCACTGATGATGTCGAATCGTAATAAAAATTCCAGGATTAAAGAGAAATTATACTCGTTCTCCCGCTCACATTTGTTTAACAAACAGTTATCGATGGGTTACTTTTCTGAGGCAGAAAATATGAAAAAAAGACAAAGTAGAATATACTTTTCTCAGTGTGGAAAACCGAATGGAAATTCATTATTCAAAGTGGAAACCCATTTTGCTCTCGCTTGTCCCATTAATCATTAAAAACACTAGAGAAAAGGGTCAAATAATATTTGTGAGAGAGAAGAGTGTTAAAGAGTAAAGCTGTTTCTGAAAAGCAGAGAATATATCCTGATCACACGCACGACACTGAGTTTCTTTTGCTTCATCTGACGGGAATGAGCAGATTTGTTCAGTTTTGGCAAATTACATTTCTAGATAAAAATGGGAATTTTTGCCCAGTGGTTTAAAGATTACTATGACTACTGGTACTATTATTATCGTTACGCACCGTTTCGTATCTACGAACGAGTTGTATATACCGGAAGTTTAAAGGACTGGAAAGAGTATTCAACAGTGGGAATATTTACACTTGATGTCGACACACCAGTGACAACACGAATGGGAGCTGGTATATTAACTGGATTAAAATTTGGTGCTTTTGCTTCCGCTAGTAAGTTCATGTGATCTATAAATTCAAGTTTTTTTTCATGCAGTCTCATTTATTTAGTTTCATATAGAAATCAACGAACACGTTACCGATTAAACAAAAGTGCAGCATTTTTCAAATGTTTAAAGCCAGGGGGAACACTTTTCGCCTGTATAGTGGCATATAGTTTTTCTATTCCGCTAGTGCGCAGCTTACGAGGACAAAAACGAACAGAACGAGATATTGATTTTGATATGGCATTAGGTAAGTAAGATGAAAGGATGAAACTTATGTGACAGAAAATAAGATATTTGTATCGTCTGAAAAATCAAAGTAAACGCACAAAATGTTGCCAGGTTGTTGTAATCGTGAAAACAGACAAAACTCTGACATTTTTTTATATTGCTTTTACTATGTATAGTAGGACTTTGCATGATATTCGGCTGTTCAAACATAGATTGTATATATTTTTTTCTATACTTCTAGTTGGTGGATTAACGGGCTTATTATCTAGTATAATTTGGATTCGTAATATTAATTTTTTCTATGTAGCCGTACCGTTTGTCTTTTTTGGCGCTGGTATTAACTATGGTTTGTACAATGCGGCTCATCAGGGATATGCTACAAAACCATTCACCATGGGTGGCTATGCGGATCCGTTACATTGGAAACGTGGAAGTCTATTTGGTCCGGATTATGATGAACGCATACGTCGTTTTGAAGCATCATTAAAAGACGCCAAATACCGAGAATATTATAATGCAAATTTGAAAACACAATGGTGAAAAGAGAAAACAATTGACATACTTGGTTTTTTTTGTACAAATCCTTATTTTTTCAACGCTCCGGACTTTTTTTCGTAACCGTAGAAGAGTTTTTAGTATACACAATAAAATTTTACACATATTCTTTGCCTAGTTTGATTCTAATAGGCATAGTGAACGGTGTATGTTCGATAAGAAGAATGAATTTTGTTATTTTTATCTACAGCTCGTGAAGTATGAGATATTATCTAAAAGTAATGTTTAGTAGTACTGTAGTTTTTGTTCTCCAGGCTTGGTTAGTCATTTTATTTATTGTGTCTGAATAACATGTCGGGGAAAAAGTCGTGTTCATCAGAATGTATAAAAATAGTGTTTGTATTTTTAGCGTATTAACAAAAACTGGTGCTTTCGCTTCTGAAAATGATAAAAAATAATATTATAAAAAATGTAAAAAAAACTATATGCCGTACTTGACGAGCAACCTGACTAAAAATATTGCATATAAAAGCAGAATAATAATAAACACAAGGGATAACGAAACTGATTTCAGTCAATATGTTAAGCGGCGAATGAACTTTAACCTAGAAACATTGTACAAGAGAAGATAGGAAACAGTTTCTGCTAGAAAATAGCCCAATATGATTTTGAGAGAAAATGACCAAACATGCTTCCTCCCCACGTTCGTACAATACTTGCCAATTCTGATGTACTGAACTTGTAATAATTTCAACGACATAAATGCATAGAGCTCATTTCAGAGTATGTATGGTAACAAAATCTATGTCGTGAAGTTACAAAAAAAATTAACTTTTACATGTTACCAAAAGTTTTCCACCTTTTTCCAAGCGACATCTACTCGTAAAATGTTTATAACTCTTGAACGCAATGTTTGTTTGAGTTGGGATCTGCAGACTATTCCTATCTACACTAGATCTACAAACTGTGCGAGTTTGGTCAAAATCTATGATAGTCGTTGAGCATCGATGTACTGTGATCTGTCGTATTTCTCATACAATGCCTCATAGATAAAGAAAAAGTGATTGAATTATTGGAAAAAAATTATCACATCTATAATTCTCTATGGATACAAGGTAAATATAAAACTAATGAACTGTTACCAGTTTATTTTTTTGTTTTCATTTCTATTTTACGGGTATTTATAATGGCTTTGGGGCGAACGTACAAGACGATGGTTGCTGGCAGACATTACTGTATCGTTTCATTAGAAGCAAAAATTAGTCAAGATCAGTTTTGATTAATTGTCATTTATATCGGTTATTCTGTACTTTAGGTTGTGACACGCATTTAACTTTGACGGTATCTGTTTTCGCTGATGTTAAGTGTTTTTCTTTTGATTTGTTCTACTTTTTTTCCTAAATGGAAGAAACAATATTTTCCAATAAAACTACAAAAATTAAAACAGCTGAAACCGAGCTAGTGGATAAGTTATCTATCCAATTAGAAAGCTGATAAAGAATATCGCGTTTCGAAAATGTTATACGAATGGTGAAACAAAATGAATTCTTAAAACGGTTATTTATGTATGCATGATACAGCTTTTCCATTGTTGTTGTATAATTTATTTTATGAAGAAAGCAAAAACAAACGATTTTGTCTTTTGTCTAATGTCATACAAAATTTTACACTTTAATGTGGCGTTAGTGTATGCATACGGGATACATGATGTAACAACAAACGGTCACAATGAAAACGGACCTTTTACTTTCGCATATACAAACACAATGAAAAAACATAATACAACAGTAATAATGGTAATAAAAATTAAGATTTGATTTTTTTTCTTCTATTCTCTCGGCACATCAACTTGACCATTATTTATTTGATCAATCACAGCATGTGGATGAGAACCTTCCACTTTACATCCAACCGATTGCGCCGTTCCTAAAAGAGGAAACAAAAATAGAAACATTTATAAGCAAAAAACACACGACTAAGAGATCAATAGTTTAAGCGTATAACCAACAAACAAGCGACTAAGAGAGAGAATATGTGAACAGAAAAGTAACAAAAAATTTCTGCAATTCATTGACAAATGAAGTACTAAGCTTGAATTCTTAGTAAACAAAAAGTCCCTTAGATTGATAAAAGACTGTTTGAAATTTGTAGTCCGTTTTTCTTGAAATGCCTGCTTTTCTATTACATTCGTGTAATGCTGACTTACCCAATATCTCTTTAACTGTTCCATCAAATGTTTTTGCCAACGATCGTGGTCGCATAACTCTAGCAATTTTAATTATTTCGTCCATTGATATATTTCCATCATGCTTAACTGAAAAATGAAGAAACTATATAATAAAAGTAACTGTATCAATTATATTCAATAGAAATCACATACTATTTTTTTGTTTTTTTCTGTCTCTTGGTGGTTCTTTTAATGCTTTGATAACAAGAGATGATGCTGATGGTATAACATCAATTTTTGCATTTCGATTTTGTACAGTTAATTTAACTGTGACACGCATGCCTTTCCATTCAGCTGTCGATTTGGCTATGTCATCTCCAACTTTTTTTGGAGACTTGAAGAATAAAAAAAGTTATATTGAATTTGTGTCGAGATTTGTTAAAGCTGTAAATCTTACCAAACCCAGTGGACCAATTTTTGGTGCAAGTGATGAACCACCTGGGGCTTCACCACCAGTCACACGTACCATAACTAGAAGTCATAAATCAGATTAGTAAAAAGAGTATACAAAAGATTAAAAGGATTGCTATGCTAGACGTTTCTGCTTATTAAGATGATTATTATCAGGTGACACGAGCGGCTGCCATTCTGAAAAGAATTATTTAATTAGTAGAAAATCTACTCAGTCAAAATTCAAAAGCAAATTCAAGCTCAGTTGCCGTTTTCTAAACAAACTATGTGTTGAAACGGATGGTAACGGTCAAGAAAACGTGTATAAAATAAGAAAATTGATTAAACTTCATACTTTCATAAACGGCGGTTGGATCGAATTTTGGACCCATTCTCTTCTAGAACTATCTAAAACAAAATAAAATGTATTGATCAATTTATTTTTCTTCCAAAATTTCAGATAGAAGTATTTAGAACTTTTATTAAACAAAAAATATAAGAACTTCTTATCTTTTTGCTCCAGAAAACGACATATATATGTATAAATCTACATCGCACGCTTGAGTCATCAGACTCACTGAAAATCATTGCGTAATTTGAAATAAACTTTATTGTTTACTCGTGTTTATTTATTTACTTATTTTGACCGGTTAAGATACGTTAAGAGTAAACACAGAAGCAAACAGTTGCAGGAGTCACCAAGCAAGTTAGCGTAAAAATGAAATACTTGATTTTGAAGCCTTATTCTTAACTATTGCTATCAATCAGATATATCTCGACCATTTTGAGCAAGGATGAAGAAGAATGATCAATGAATGGTCTGTTCCATCAGCTTATCGCCTGTGAAGTGAATGGCCACATGGCTAGTCGGTTCTCTGCAATGCTCTCCGTCACTTTCAGTTAAAAATTTGAATAATAAATATTTAATCTATCTCAGAGAAAGAATTGCATTTGTATCAATACAATAATGTACACAGACGAGTGGAAGAAGATGTCGCTACATGTCTTCTGACAGTTTACAAAGAGCGACAGATTGATTCAAAAACTGTTTTAGGGTTATCCTGGATAAGCGATGACCGACTGCCGTAGAACAGTGCTCAAAAAACCACTCTAGAATTTTATCCAAATGAAGTGTTTCTTCAGAGGCAAAAGTATGATCAACTTTGGCGATAAAAAATTGCAGGTTAAAAGATTGAAACGTTACGGATATACTGAGTTTTATGAAAATCCCCCAAACTTAAATATCACTATCTTCGAAGATGATCTACTCTCGAAGCGTATAACCTGATAAGGATGTTTGAGTTAAACTCAAAATGTTTATTGTAGCTGCATCATTGTGTGACCTACAAACTGAAAGAACTTTCAGGTTCTCTATTATTCAGCACTACAGCAGCATATCCTGAGACACAAAATCTATCGCATTTTTTTAAACAGATATCGGATCACATCTTCCATACTGAGACCTGATAGAACTTTATGCCTTTCAGTTTTTATTTTAGGAGCGCTTTGCAAAGAAAGAGTTGTTAGCGAAACTTGCTCTTATGTTCTGGGTTATTTCTGTTCGTTCTGATATCCTGTTTCTTTGTAGTTTGAATTCTGTAACTGTTTTCTTTCGTCTATGTTTCGCGTATATGGTCGTTTTTACAATAATGTAGGAAAACTATAACCATGCTATACTAGCAAACTTGAAAAATTCACGAACGGAAAAAATTGTTATACTGTTTTTACCATACATAACGGAAATAATCTTGTTCTTCGAAAAAAATGTGAGTTTACCTGCTATTCTTAAGCTCATATTATAACTGTCACATGCAGTATTTATCTTGTCAATTATCTAGACATAAACCAATCTAGAAGAAAATTGATTTCAAGTAAAAAACACTATGAAGAATAATTTGAAATTTTAATCAACATTAAAATAAATTTTTAATTCTAGACAGAAGAAGAAAAAGAGTATAAAGTATAGTTAACAGAAAATTTTTTTCACAAAATATGAATTTGTTCAAAACTTTCATTATTCTTGGTAAGTGACTAATTATAGTATAGACCAGAGAGAATGTGTGTTAAACAATTGTTTTATCTTTAGCTTGTCATCTGTGGCATGCATTTGGACAATCGATGACCCACGTGAGTGTACAAATTAGCATAACGATACTTACTCAATATCATCCATGTGCAGATCCAGTTCACATACGAATTTGGAATATAGACGGTACTTTTGATGAAAACTTTAAACTTACTACGGATACGTCTGAAATATGTCTCTCTACTGTACATATTGGTGGTAGTGTCATTTTGCCGTCGTTTGCGTCCTACATGGCCCTTCCAATAAGAGGCAATGGAGCGTATGCAGTACATGTTGATGGACACTTTGCTGTAACAAAATTTAACATCAGTGTGAGTAGTATTTAATTTTGGTAAGGGTGAATGTTACGTGAGGGTGATGAAGCATCGAACTCATTTGAACCACGTCAGACAAAAAGAAGGAATTGATTACCATTTCAGATTACAAATATTTGAAGTACCAAAATGGGAAATGCATTATTAGAGAGAAATCCTTCTAGAACAGAAAAAATATAGATGGTCTATTAGACGATCTGCCATGTTCTTCATTCGCTGCGAACACAGAATTTTCTCTTGAAGAAGTTTCTACCTAAGGTACGAAACCTTTTTATATACCTCAAATCAAATTATAGAGAAATGAACTTTTTTTTGGTATTTAATCGCTCACACTTATTTTAGCTTTTATTTCTCTGGTTGGATCTAATGCAAAGAAGCGAAATACTTCGAAATAATTTATGTTTTACAGTAGGATATTTGAATTTTTAGTTGTTTTTGAATATTTTAGGCTCATACGCATTCTATTCATATACATGTCCCAGTGTGGAAAGATCTTATAGGAAATAAAGGGCCAAGTACCGGATCCGCTAATCTTGCCTTATTTACCACCAGTTTATCGATGGGAAGTTGCGGCAACAACCGTTTTGTTTGGCTTATGTTTCCTGTTACTTATAAGGAAAAAGAGTGGAAATATTTTCCAGTGCAAATTGTAACTAGAGGTGAATGTGCGGATACGAATATAGCAGTAAGTTCAGCTACTAGAAAAACAGAAAACTTGAAGTTTTCTCATTTTTTTGTCTTAGTGTTCATCCGGAGAGGACAATAACCTTGACAGTATCTTTAATGAAATGTTTGGAAGAGGTCACGAATATATCGTTGTTTTTGTTCAAAGTGGAAATGCCACTTGTCAACCTCGTGATTACGGTCAGGGGTTGAAAGAATTATATTTAAGATTATTAACTTTATATAGAATAAATTCGCATCCAAGTCAACAGACGATTCATGCACAAGGACCTGCTTGTCCAGAAGCTTTTAGCTATCTTTCACACATGGTCACTTTTGGACATAGATTGAATTGTATACATCCTGTATGGACTGAACAAACTTACATTAATACTATGGTCGCTTTACGGAGATTTACTCAGTTATCCCATCCTGACATTAAATCACTGAATGTTATTTTGACCGACTCAACCCGAAGTCCGACTTCAAAATTCACAAAAGCAATATATAATCTCTTAAAGCCAGTGGCAACTAATATAATTTTACGTTTAATGCATGTCAAACGAAGACTATTGAGTATTCTATATGTTAGATTTGATATATTAATAACCAACGGTTTGTTGAAGTAAGCATTTTGATCGTTTAATTTAAGGTTTTTCAGTTCATTTCAGATATTACACTATTTCGAGTAAAACTTGGAAACACTCTTGTGCTTTTGGTGAGTTTTGAATATATACCTTGAGGCTACTGAAACAAGTTGTTAAAACAAAAAATTTATAGACGAACTATTAGTTTTTCTTTCTTAAGTTTGGGTTTATTTCAGTGCAAATGATAATAAATCACAAGTATGTAAAAAAGTGACGAATAGTGGATATTCATAGATGACGTAATCCCTTTTTAAATCAAAGAAAAGCCTGCTTGATATCATCGGTACTTTTATTAGCCCAACGAAATCTTGATTACAAGAATCTAGTTCTGTGTAAAGAACATGAGTCTATTGATAATTAATTGAATATTTGTTATTAGATAGAGCGCAACGAACACTGACATTTAATCAAAAACGGAAGTTCCTCGTTTTATTCATGAGAATAATCTTCAACATGTTGGTAATTTTTATCATTAAGTATTCAAATCCAAGTATTCCAGTGAAAAAATCTGAAAGTGGAATAGTACAGCTAAACAACCTTTTTCGAATAATATATGCATTTGCGAATATTCAATTTTAGCCTTCAAGTTTTAGCTGATAAATTCTTGATATGCCGGTCTTTAGTGGTGTAGCGAGTTTTCCACTTCTTCCCATTTTCCAGAAATGCTCTTCTACATATGATAGATCGATGGGGCTAGCATAATATAGCATAGTATATCCATTTTATATTTCGGGGCATTATAGTTTTTCGTGAAAATTAGCATTTCTTAGCATACAAAATTCTTTTTTATTGAAAACAAATGTGATATTCAGCATTATCGTGAAAAACTGTTTTGTATTCTGTACAAAATAATTAATTTCTGATGAAAATATTTTGATTAAAAACGATCGTACTTGGTAATCATCAGCCGATTTTCAAAAACAAGCTACTTTCATACAAACGTTATTTAATAAAAAAATTAGTGTTTTATACAATGGAGAATGATACTAAATAAGAATTTACTAGGAAAAAGAATGTTGCGTCCGCATGGCAAACCTATCCAATTGGAGAAAGAAGTGATGACATCATTTATAACCACATCCTTGCCAGTCAACAACGTTCAATTGATATTTAAACAACCGGATAAATGGAAAATTAATTTACATATGAAAATATCGATGACGACTGATCAATAAGACAGAAATCAACAATTGTATCAAATGCTGAATTTTATACTGCAAAATATTTCGTTTCAATTTTCAACAGTAATAAAACTTTAATCTTATTTTACGATTCGGAACAAATCTGTAGTCTAAAAACATGTTTTTTAGAACAAGTATAAAACTCTTATCCCGTAATGTATTGTTTTTACTATCAATGAGGAAAACTTATATGCTTCAACCTATAAATAAGTTAGAGGAGGCTATCAACAGCTCAGTAAGATAAAACAGTTTTCTGAGTCGAGAAATGGAAGAGTTTTAATGATTTGCCTAAAGTATATCATAGCGGCACGTTCCGCTGTTTCTTATAGCACGACGTGTCGTATCTACTGTTATGTCAACAAAGCTACAAGTATAAGATATTAGATCTTTGGGAAGAAGCATCGCGACAAATAGTTATGTTCGGATAAAATTACCTGAGTTTTACAATGAATGCATCGTCGCTAATCACAATAAACAATATCATTCACTTGAAATTTTTAATGGCAGGACTTTTTGAAAATTCATACTACTGTATAATAAATACAACACAATAATTAGTTTATAATTTCAAAGACTTATTTATTTGAAATGTGTGCAACTCGACTTGATACATTTTAATTTAGTTTAGTTTAGTTTATCAGTTAGTTACTAGCAACTCAACCACAACTCATTTATGAAAGAATCAAAAAATCAAAAAAGATACCACGACCAGTTTCGGCCTTTGTCGAGGGTTTCGTCGAGTGTTTTTCTTCGAGAAAGACAGAGTTAAGGCACGACAAGCAACAAAACTCAGTCCACATCGTGCGAGGGTGTTATTATTCCTTGTTCTTATCGAACAAAGGATGATAACTTTCACACGATGAGAATGGAGGAAATCACCTGATGTCAGACCCGTGAGAAAGATCAAAACTGATTGTGATATCTTCTTTTAATTCTTTGATTCTTGATTTGATTCAGAGTTCTGGTTGAGTCTCTAGTAACTAACTGATAAGCGGTTGTAAAACTAAACTAAATTAAAATTGTATCAAGTCGAGTTCTACATTTCAAATAAATAAGTCTTTGAAATTATAAACTAATTATTGTGCTGTATTTATTATACAGTATTATGAATATCATTCAAGATATTGTAATCTTCTGTAACTAAACGTGTTTACTAATTATCAGTTTTTCTTAATTTTCACAAAATACACTAAAAAGGATCCAACTTATAGTAAGACACTAAGTCGCATCACATTTATCCGCATAAATTTTGAAGACATGTGATGTGACTTACCTAGAAAGGCGCACTGTACCGTCTTTTTAGAAGACACATCGTAGACACTAGAAAGGCAGTGTGGAGACGTAGAGCAGGCGCTTACTATGTGGCAGACACGTAAAAGACACTTTTTTTCTGTAGTCACTTCGCTTGTTTTTTTTAGAGTGTCATTCATGCTGCTCAACAAGAATATCTTTTTTTACTTTTCAACAAATAAATCGACGTTTTCTTTAATTGCTCACAATATACAGAGCAGTGGTAAATATTACGAACAAAGCGTTGCAAAATCAACCATTCTATTGTTGAAAAGTGTGTGAGTTCCGGGGCGAATCATCATTGAAAAATTTCTAGTACAACTCTCTTTTCGTCTTTTAATGATCAAAATTTTTCTCTCTGTATTCGTTTAAGCGAACAGTAATACTGAAAAAAACGCAGAAAAGTTATTTGGCATAAATAAACGGAAAAAATTGTGAACTCTACTTGGTTTTTCTTCCTACTTAAATATACGCGGAAGGTAACAAATCTGATTCTTCGTTTTAACGAAATCTATATATTGTCGTTTTTTCAGTTTAAATGGTTGCTGCAATCGAATGAAGAGAAAAGGAACGTTTTCTCAAATCAAATGTGCTTGACTTTAAAAAATATACTAAGCTCTATTTATAAAAATAAAAATAAAGAATGCAAATGTAAGGTTCGTTTTAAACTCATAACTGAGACAAAGGTGTATGTCCTAGATACAAAACAATGTGTATATTCTTTTGACTCAAATTTATTCCTTATTTCTGACTAGCTAATGTTTTCAAAACATAGTATCAACATTGTTTGGATATGTAAGTTATAATAAAAAATTCTTGAACCTTTTGACCGTTCGTATTTCTGTTAGGTTTAATTCTACTATCTTCCTGGACAATTCAAAATATTACCTTAGCGAGTGATCTATTGACAGTTCATGGCAGTTCAAGTGGTAGTGGACACATTCCAGTACAAGGGAATATAAACCCTAACATTTCTGTCCTCTCAAATACTGATAATAACACCGAAAATATGCTAGGCGGATCTAACAATAATGCATTAAATTTGAGCACTATCGAAATTACAACCTCTGAGAAAACGAATACGGTGGATCCTTCTATTAAAGATAAATTGAATAGTACCGTACAAACATCAGAAACCGTAGATCGAGAGGAGTTTTCTACATCAACAGGATCAAATCTCCATTTTATTATCGAAAGCGTACCCCGATACTATACACCATTTGAAGAAATACCATTTTTATATTTTATTGACGGTAACAATAGTAAATATATTGCTCAAGAAAAATATTATTTTTCACTACTAATGGGCAGCACACTATACCACGCACATTACGCTCTATGACTTGTTCATGTATTGTATGAGCAGTTAGACGCTGTTATTCATGTACGTACTTTTTCAACAAATTTAAGTTTTAAAAAGTATTTAATATCGGAATAAAGTCATGGTATTGAAATTAGCGAGTGGAAATTATACTGTACAAATAGGTCGCGCGTATAACGCAACATGGGTGGCTGATGCTATTGACGAGAATGGCAATCCAGTTGAACTTAACATAGAAGTACGTTCAAAGTGAATTTATTATAACTACATAATTAGTACTTACAGGGTGATCCAAAAAAAAACTTAACCCCTGTGTATTTATTGACTTTTTTGTGTACAAATATAATTGAACTTTTTACCATTAGTTTATTCGAATAGAGCAAAGATTTCTGGACGAAATGAGACGTCTCCGAGCTCTCGAAGAGCTTTTCTCATGAAACAGCATTCAATTTACGGAAGGTTCCATACCACCAAAATCGAGACAATTAATGGGCAAACAAGAAAAATATGTTCTTGGGACCTTCCGTAAATTCAATGCTGTTTCATGAAAAAAGTTCTTAGAGA